CAAGAAAAATCAAAATTTTCTATTATGCTTACGCAAGACCTCATATATTTTACTTTTGACTTGCACATTGAATCGCCTTAAAATTATTGTTCCTCGACCATTCTTCTCTATCTCCACATCATGTTATTATTGTGCCTCGGTCACAAATCAAATAAAATGATAATTAGTGAACTTATCAAGAAATATCAATAACCAAATATCATCTAAATAGGTATGAAAAACTTACTTACTTTAAGGCAATTCACGCCTTTGCGGAGAGTAGATCAACCAATGCAGCAAAGATATATATAGCATGTCACCCCTAGGATGCTACAGTTTTATAATAACACTCTATGGATTTGCACTATCCATAAAGTCACCTTACTCAAAACACCCTTCTTTACCCAAGAATATTTAGAAGATAAAGTAAGGTAAGGAAAATAAGAGAAGGTGGAGCAACATCCTTTTTTTGAGCAAAAGACATGTCCTATTTATAGGACTTATGGTTTTATAACTCCCATTTGTACGTTAATGGTAGGTATAAATTGGGCAATTACTATAAAATAATGTACCCTTAAATAGGACAATTAATCTACAACGGTTAGTTTGACTAAATCCTTAATGAGACAATAAATTCAATTTATAAAATATATTATTTTATTTTTTATTTAAATATTTAAGTTCCAACACAAGACGCTGTGCAAGGCTTCAGGATTTTCTGATTTTCAGCTTGTTTATTGCGTTTATAAGGGTACGGCGGTCATGGTGTGCCGCAAATGACTCAGCATGCATTGGCACTGCGCTGTGGGATTTATCTATATGATTTAGTTCGTATGTATCTTAATTAGTTGTCTTTATGGAATAATTTCCACCTCATTTTTTAGTCATATTGGTGGACGATGATTGCCTCAGTCAATGATTTAACACTGATGGTTGTGGGTGTTTTTATTTCAATTTCGCGGTTACGAGTGTTGCTTTTTTTGTTACTCGTCTTTGACTTTGATTTGCATCCAGCTTATTTTTTATGCTTTTTTACTCGTCTGCATTTTTTCGATAAAGATTTTCACATCCCCCAAGCATTCAACAAAGAATCCCCTGTAGTTTGTAATGCAAGACCAGAATTGTTAGGTGGGAAACAACACTCAATATCATAGGTCTTGCATTCATTTAATAATTTAAATTATACAATCTAATACAATTTTGATTGCACAATACATCCCCCTCCTTCTTGCCTCCTTTATTTATCTTTTTACCTCTCCTTGGCCAATCCCTCCTCTCGCCCTCTTTTTCCCATCCCTTTGACATTCCTTTTTTGCCTACCCTTCTCTTTGTTCATTGTTTCCGCTTTCAGTTTTGGCCCTCTCATATTTTCTCTTCTGCTCCTTTATTCCCTTTCCACTCCATTTAAGGAAATATTCTACTATTGATTAAGGCAATTTGTTCTCGAGTATGCCAAATCCCTCTTTATCAAATTCTATGGGATAATTGACGGATAATAATCGATGGTGGCAAAGAAGCTTGGATTTGAAAGCAAGCGCTACTAGAGGATATGGAATCAACAAGGTAATATTAACAATGTATTTAGACACGTCGGTGATATATATAAATTCACTAATGTGGCTTAAAATGTCAAATAATCAAATAGTAAACACATGTAATCAATGCTATTGTTACAATCAATAAGGTAGAATCACATTGCTGAAACTTAATTTATTGAAGTGGATTGTCTTGCTAAACTAAATTTTCAGCCATTAAAAGAATCTTTCAAGTTGATTAATATCGGGGAATAAAATAATCACCAATGTGGTCTTAGATGCTATACTTTTCCGCCCACCTTATGTTCCAACCTATGTCACGTTGATAAATACAATATATAAACATCTATGTGGTATATGTTGAAAAATGATTAAAGACTGTTGATCAATAACTTGCACCTAGCTTTCTACTCTCATCATGTTTGCAACATTTTTCACGTGGGTGATATCTACCTTTTAGCTATGTGATGTATGTTGATCAACAAATTTTGAAAATTTACACCCAGCAAGATAATACAAATTGGTATTTCAAAATGGAAAATGCTACAAACACCCTCTTCCTTCACACTTCGTTACACACACACTTACTCTCCGTCATTCTTTGTTACTCTCCGTTAACTCTAAACTTCAGCCCTTTCTTTCTCTCTCTCCTTTCCTTCCTCCTTTTTGCTGTTCACTGTCCTCACCAGATCCATCTTCCTTCTCACCTCCATCCTCATCCTAATCATCTGCAGCCTTATCTTCCTCTTCTTGATCATCATCAGTTTCACCGACACAGAGTATGAAGTTGAGAAAGTGGGAACCTACCTAGATTTGGTGTTGAGGAAGGGGAGAGAAAATGAAAGGATTTAAAGGTTGAAGATAAGGATTTAGGAACCCAGCAGCCTAGGTTCCTTCGAACTCTTCTCATTTTAGTTAGCCCTTTTATCTCTTGCTTGTGGATCGAGACACCTTTTTGGCTTCTTCTGTATTACTCTTCTCAAGTGGGCTTCATGGATGTGGGAAAAGAAATTGGGTATAGAAAAGAAACTAATTTCATATATTTCATTGGGGAAATCATTTTTGCCTTCTTTTTGTTGCCCAATTAGAATGATGAGAATTGAAATTGCAATTGTGGTTATAATAGAGAAAACTCATATCTGGGTTTGTTGTCTTCAAGGATGTTGCAGAATTTATTTTCTTTTTTGGGGTTCTTTTTGAATGGCCTAACCATGGTTGCTTTCTTCGTTTCCTCTCATTTCCATATAGATTTTGGAAACCCAAATCTGGGTTTGCTAATTTTTTTTTTTTTTTTTTTTGTTTTTAAATCATGCTCATTTCCTCTCATTTTCATACAAAATTTGGTTATGATTTTATTCTTTTCTTATTCTCTTATCAATATTATTCCAATTAGAAGATAGGATTTTCATTTTTTTTTCACTCCTTACTGCGAGAGATTGGGGGGTTTATTGTATTTTGCAAGGATGGAAAAGATGGATGAGAGGCTTCTTGTGCCTGATTTGGGGTTTTCTAAATGTGTTCTTGTATCCTCAAATGCCTGAAAATTCATGTGCCATTATAGTAGTAAAACCTGCAAGAACCATTCCAAGCAAAAAAGTTAAAGAGTACAAAGGAAACAATGATTCAATTCAAGACTTCCAGTCCTTTTTTCTGAAGCTTGAGGGAGAAGTGGATGAAATTGCAGGTTTCATTTGGGTGTTTGGGAGTTAACGAAAATTAACAGAAAGTTAGTGTGTGTAACGGGGTGTGTAATGGAGGAGTGTAAATGTATCATTGTCCTTGCAAAATATTTAAATTTTTAATGCCACCAAGAACTTTTTAAGCTAGTAATATGTAGAACACGTTGCTAACATGCTGAAATATTTGAATAAATTTTAGGTGAGCCTTTTCCAACAGACAACATTGCAAACCACATAGGTAAAAATTATTTCACCAAAATATTTTATACTCTCAATATTAAAATTTTTAATATCTCCAATATTTTAATCTTGCAATGCAAGCTACATTAGTGAATAAATTGAAATATTTGAAGTAATTTTTAGTGAGTATTTTTCAAAATACAGTATTGCGTGCCATGTAAATAAATGTAGAGTCTGTCAAAATATATTTGAATTTTTAGAAATCATTTAAATTCAACCCATTTATTGACGTGGATTGTAATATTGTTTGGCAATGTATATGTACTACACAGACAACAAACCTCTTCATTTTCTTCCTTTTCTCCTTCCTTCTTTGCCTTAGACTTCTCCAGTTCAACCATTGCTATTTATGTCCTAAGATCATTTTTTTTTCTTAGTTTTTGAGAGTACCATATAAATGGGCTCTTTACTAAAGTTATTTTAACTTCTTTTTTTTGAAATTTTTTTCCAGTTTTAATTCATGGTTGTAATCTTCTCTACTCTACTAATTTTGAGAAGTAAAATCCCATTAACTTCTCTAAAGTTATATATATTTGTTGGATAATTAATAAATTTTAATATATTTATAAACTAACTTCTTTTATTTACAATTTTTGTAGGTGAAAATTTATGTAGAATGAAGCATGATGCACTATAATAGTAATTTCATTTTAAAACAAAATTTCAATGTAATTTTAGTGATTTATTTCCCACTTACTATTAATTACAAATTACAAATGTTGAATTATTTTTTAGGTAGACAAACATGAGATGAATTATTTATTGAAATATGATTGACTATTATTTTGAGATAAAATATATATATATATATATATATATATGTAGGTTTGAATTTTCTACATATAATAAATTTTTTACATATTATTGTTATTTAATGAACTTCTCATAGTTTAGGAGGTATATTCGATTAATTGATCATTGTTGTATATTTTTATTATACCCACCGTAGGACCACCACCTATACGTCTAGGATTGCATTATCATATGTTATGCTTAATTATCGGCAAAACCAGAAGTTAAGCCCCTGAACTAACCCCAGAATCGCTATTAAGCCCTCAGACTTTAATTGATGCATATAAGCCCCTGAACTCTACCATAGAAGCAATTGGCAAAACCATAAGTTAAGCCCCTGAACCAACCCCAGAATCGCTATTAAGCCCCTAGACTGTAATTGATGCAT